TTGTTAGATTCTTAAACAAGGAATTATCTTCGAAGTCATAGAAAAACGCATCCGGTATCGCAAGATTTTGTTAATTCCATATTTATAAAAAAAAATGCTATATCTCACGAGAAAAATGAAAATATGGCGCTCAAATTGTTCCTAGTGAGAGCGCCAACCAAACTGGCATGGCAAGTGGCAAGTAGCACGCGTCTAGCATCTTACTTAAAATGTAACCAATAAAATCGAATGATTCAGCGCACACCAAAATGACAGTGACATAATTCAGTCTAATCATTCGTTTCCATTGGTTACATTTTAAGTAACATGCTAGACGCGTGCTACTTGCTACTTGCCACTTGCCATGCCAGTTTGGTGGGCACTCTCCCTTAAAGGTAATAGAGGCAAATTTATTAATGATATTGGGAGAATTAGTTAATGTAAATCTGCAACATTGAGTATTATAATAATAAAATGTAGTAGAATTCAAAGATAATATTATATGTACAAGAAAAACGTAACAAAAACATTGTAAAACTCTCCCGTTCAGCGATATACCCTCGTTATTCATTTTCTTTATAAGGATCACAGTTTTTTGTACATAAAACATTTGATATTCGAGTAAAAACGGATTATAGAGAGAAAAATAACAGTTCGAGATGGTAAAATTAAAAAACTGAACTTAAGATTTGATTATTTTGTCAATAGATCTCTGAATAGTTGTTGTTGAGTATTATATATTGCTGCTAAATGTTTGTTCACCATTTCCATAAAAAATTATATAGTGGGAACCTTTTATCAGTAAGTAAGGTTTGTTCAATTTATTTTAATTACCTTAATTATGACTTAAATCATGAAAAAAAAAACCTTTTACATGTCAGATTTTAAGAAAAAAGTTATTTGTCTCAATTTAATTATATACACAAGTTACATCAGGTTTTTGAGTGTCCAATTTTGATAAATGTAAGTCACGTTTTTCAAAAATGAGAATATTCGATTTACAGTACACAGAGAAATTATTAGGCCAAGCATTGAAAATTTGCACTTTTTTTAAATAAATAATTTTTATCAACAGGAATATTTTTTCGAATAACATTTAATATAGTATGGTAACATTATTGTATCTACTATTTTAATGTTGGCAACACCGCCCTATCCGTCATTTCTAGATAGCATTGAGAGTGTCCTGTTAACTAGTGAGCATTTTATAACCTCAAATACTGTCTGTGAACATTTACATTCTTGAATGAAACAGAGGTGAGTGACCTATCATTTTTTTTTATTATTTTTTAGATTATAAACATATGTAGTGAAGTTATTGGTATAATTAAGGGTATTATACATTTTTAGATGGGGAAAAACGCTGATCTATCACTAAAACGAGTAAGCTAGGTATTTGGACTCCTAAAAGCTGGACAAATGTCTCAAATTGTAATAGCAGTAATGGTAGCAGTATCAAAAAGTTCTATAAGGAATATAAAACAGAAAATTGCGTCTGGTAGTTATGGATCAAAGCGAAAGGGTCACAGCGGAACACATCGTGTGACTACTCCTAGATCATTTTGTTGATTTCAGGTCTGCTTCTCGGACGACTCTGTTTTTCAAGGTTTGACAGAAAAAACGAAGTTATGATATGAACGCTATTGAGAATGGGTGGGAACAATTGAAAAGGGAGATGTCGAAAAAAAAAACATTACTAGTAAAAGTGAGTTACTTAAAACGCTTATATATGAGTGGAATCATAGTCCTCACTCCCAGGAAATATTCAAGCCTGTATCTAGAGTATGCCTGGACGTGTTCAAGCTCTTTTAGCGGCCAAAGGCAGCAATACAAAATATTAAATGTATTCCTATTTTGTAAAAATTATACTTTTTTAGTACAGTTTAATTAGATAAGGGTTAATATTCGCAAAAAAGAACAAAACAGTAATTGTTTTCAAATATATTCATATCTATATATACTTAATCATGAGATAAATAACTTCAGATAGGAAATTTTTTTGCTTGGCCTAATAATTTGGGCAGGTACTGTACACGCAAAAGAAAAGAAATTAATTCAAAGATCTTTTGACAAAATTCTATAGACGTTTTGTCAACTTTTTCGTCAAACGCAACAACGTAATAAATAAATCGATTACAGTTAATAAAAATTATTATCTAGCAAGTAATTATAAACACTGGAAAGGATGCAATAAAAAATACATGTAACATTCAATCACAATTTTATATAATAGTATTATTAGGTATAGTCTATCGTAAAATGCCACAGGAAATTGTATGCCATTTTTAGTATATGATCTATATGCAAGGACGACTGTCTGAAATTTTTTATCCTTTCACAGAACATTACCAAATAGAATGTTGTGCATTTTAAAAGAGACTATACCGATCCATTCGGGTACCTATCACAAAAACCTTATTCTACAAAAAGTCTTTAATAATTCTAGACCTGGATAACCCTGCTCATACATGTTTATCTAATATAAAAAACGATTTCGTAAGAAATCAGTCGATTCTACGTAGACTACAATTATTGCTATAACCACATTATTGTATACATTAAGTCTTTGATAATTGACCACATTTTTATAGTTTATTAACAACATGAAAAACCATAACTTTGTAGGAATGTATCATCGTTCAAAATTAACGGATCACTTATGAAAATACGCAAAACGAACATATTAACGATTTATATACATCGGAGGTGGGATATAAAAAATACTATGTTATTGCCTTTCTAAATTATTTTGAGGTTAAGAAAAAAAATTATTAGGTTTGCAAAAAATATGATTTTTTACTTTTATAGGACCGTTTGAAAGGGCAGTAGCCACGGCCGAAATCAATTGTCAAATGAAATTGTCATTATTTAGTACTGTCACAGAATAATAAACAATTAATAATATTTATTAAAATAGTTGTTTATTATTCTGTGGTACTGTCAAGACATCAAAGTATAATAGAAGTAATAATAGTTGTCAATTTTTTTTAGCCATTACCGCCATTTGCATTGAGTATGTAAGGTCTATTATATATTTTTTAATTTGTTTATATATCTTCGTTTGTTTAAATTCTTATTCAATAGAACATAGAAGTACAATATTCCGTAAGGTAAGAGACGATAACTTGAACAACGGCACATGATTTTCTAACTGCGATCCTTCCCTAAATGCAAATGGCGGATTTGGCTTCACTTAATCTGTACCTTTTAGATACGAGTTATTTATCTATGGGTTTAATATCTCTGAGTACTGCATTATTAAGAATTCTTACATCGAAAAATTATATTTGTACATATACTTCTTTACTGACTACTGCACAATGACCAAAACTCACATGGTGTTCAGAATTCCTAATTATTTTTTTTGTATAAAGAACAAAACTAGCAAATGCCTTGCCATTTGTCAAATATTCTAGTTTTTGATATGTTTTAAACTCCCCAGTTATTCATTATGTTATTAGGTTAGGTTAGGCTAAATTTCACAATGTCATTTTTATTTGACAGTTAACTTCGGTAGTGCCTAATGCCCCGACATACGTACCGACAAGAAAAAACTATCAGCGTCTCATAAAGGAAGCTAGTGCCGTTCAAATAACGTACATAACTTTGTGTTTAAAATAATTTGGAGCCACATATCATGACAAAACAGTTTAAATGTCCTATAACGCGCACAATGATGCAACAGTCGCTGTTTATTGTCAAATACTGGTATAATAGAAATAGAAATAACGCTGATAAGACAGTTGCAACGATTTCCTCATTATTGGTCATCATGATCTGTACTATCTGATTTATCTCAGTTATCTTTCTATCTATCTCGTTATCAAAATTTTCCCGTGCATGACTCAGAGACAAACAGTACCGAAGAGGTAATCTTCCAAATATTGTTTCATACATTAATCAATGTTCGCACTCATCAATAACTTATGTAGCTGTCATTTTATCAAGTTAATTATCTCAGAAAAATAATAATTGAAGAAGGTAGCTGAGACAATGTTTCTCGCAGACAAAGATGAAGAAAGAATAAAAATATTCTAAAGAAAAAGAAAAAAATACTCTCAGAAAAATTATGGGTCCGATAAGCATGGAAAACGGAGAAATGGCTTGGACACATATAGAGAAGGACAAACGACCTACTGATTAAGAGCGTAGGCTCAAAATTTCGGGCCAATGCTTTTTAAAGGCTTTTTTTTCGAATCCTGAGAAAACTAACAAATATTTTAAAAAATTTAAACGCAGAATGAAAGATTACTTTATTACCGAGGGCCTAAAGTCCCTGAAAACTTATAATGTTTATTTTAATAAGTTACAGGGGTTAAAAAAAAAGAGAAAATTTAGTGTGATTTTTAATTTCAAATATCTCATTTAAAAAAAAACCTTTTTGTTTATTCTAAGGGAATGTCGGCCATCTTTAATAATATAATCTTTCATTCTGCGTTTAAATTTTTCAAAAATATTTGTGAGCTTTCTCAGGATTCGAAGAAAATTAATGCATTAAAAAGCATTGGCCCGAAATTTTGAGCCTACGCTCTTAAGAAGGTCACGAGAAGGAAGCCAGTAACTGAGCCAAACCAAGAGAGATTTGAGGACCAGGTCATGAAAGATATCAAAATTCTGAAGGTGAGACACTGGAGTGATGTAAAAAAGTGTAAAAACAAAGTTATACAATGAATTTTGACAATAGACAAGAAGAATGCAGAGTGATTCACCACAATAACCGAAACAAAAAGCTGTAGGTAAGAGAGGTAAAAATTCTATCAGGTAGGACAGACCTTGATAATGATGGTAATAAATTATCACCATATTAAACAGGTTATTAAGCTGTGGTGCCATTGTATTGAGTTATTTTTCTGAGAAATTGAGCCATACAGTAGTTATAGTTGTGATATTTGAAACTTTTAAAAATCTGGATAATATCACTTCATCAGTTATTTAACGAAAGTTTAATATCATCAAGTTACATTTCTGATCTATTTATACGATGTGTTTCATAAATAAAACAAATCTTATATGTGGCCATCGTAGAGGCCGTTTTATTTCTTCAGTAGATTTCTCAGCTGTGATGACATTTACCAAGTTTGCTTCTAATCCATGTCTCAGAAATGAGCCAAATAAAACTAAGGAAGGAGTATTCCCAATAGTTCCTTATTAAAATTCTCGTTAACCATATTTCATAAATAAGTTATTTGAGTCATTTAGTAGCAATTTCATATTATGAAGTTAATTTCAGATCTATTTATACAGTTTATCTCGGAGATCAGAAAAATCTTATATAGAAGCGTAATTTTCCAAATTTTTTACGTCATTAGTAAATTAATGAACTGCGATGACATTTTATCAAGTTTTTTTCTGATCCATTTGTCAAAAATGGGACAAATAGTACAAAGACAAATTCCAAATTTTCAGACATATGGTTAACCATCTCGCTGTTTTTTTTTCTAATATGTCTATATATAATTTGTCTCAGAAATAATACAAATGCTATATAGACATAATTCTAAAAATATCTCGAAAAATCGACTTCTTATAAAAGTAATTGAGCTGCTCTGACATTTTATAAAATAGTTATTCTGATTTGTCTATACTATTTGTCTCGAAAATAATAAAAACATTTTTCGCAATCTAGTTTCTAGTGTCAATTCGATTTCTTATATAAAAATACTTCTCTGAACGATTGTTGTAAAGAATACTTTCACTAAGCCCCTCATTATTTACAAAAATCTACGCGATTGAGCTACATCACCCTCCTTTCGTATCTATCTTCTTCACTAGTTCGGAAATAATTTCTCTATAGATAAGGGAGTCCATGTTGGTGCCCAACATCATCAAAATCCACCAGTCTCCTATATCGATCTTGTTGCAGAGGGCCTTGCACACTTCGATCGGAATAGCTCTGTTCTTGGCATGCAGAATCCTCGGTCTGATTTTAGGATAAGCAATGATTAGTATCCTGTAGAGAATCAAGAAGGTCAGCATTGTCGCCAATATCATAAACCAGAACCATATAAAAATATAAGTTTTCTCGTTCACTATATTTAGCGGAAGGACGCACAAACTGTCGTGCTTCTGGATCGATCCTGTAGGACCGTATTTGTGGAAGATGCACTTGGTGACCCTGGGAAAGACGTACACCATCGGATCGACGCGATCTTCTTGAGACAACTCGGAGAATTTCATCACCCTCCAGCCGTAGGAGAGGAATTCTCCGTCGAAAAACCTGTTCATGATGAACAGCTGCGCTATGATGTTGATGAGGCACAGGCACTCGCAGCCCCAGTAGCGAAGGGCGTAGAAGTTGTGTCTCTAGAAAAAGAAAAAAATATTTATAACGGAATGTTCAGAATTCATAAAAATTATTTTATTAAACAAATTAAATATTTTGATAGTATGTTGTTCTGAAATTAATAATGTCGACTATTTTACTAGACTATTTTTAACGTCATGGCAATGCCACGTTTCCTACTGACAAAACTCCTTCTTGCCCGTGATGTCTCAGCGACATCATTATGACAGATCCATCATGAAGTTGTCTGGTACTTCTATTGTTGTCAGTTTAACAAACGTCATTGAGGTGTAATCAATTTTGGATAGATATAATGAATCCAGACGAAAAATCATCATTTGTATGCCAGTCAGGTGAAGAAATAAAAAAAATTAGTTTCGAAAAATGTCCCATTAAACACGCAGAGGTCCAGAAGCTCTATTTGGACCCAAATTTCGGAGTTATTAGATGTTTTGGTGAAACCAAAAATTCTAAAAACAGCCATTTCAATTAAAAATAAATCAATAGAAAACAACATAGTGTTTACAAAAGCAAACAAAGGTAACACTACTATTGCTATAGGTAAAATAGAATATGATAACAAAACAATAGAATTTTTAAATAATCAAAATATTGAAACGGTACACAAAGATCCGGCGGAAAAGTATCAAAAACAAACTAAACTAGCGTTAGAACATTCAAAATCAATAGTAAATCCAACAGAGCAGAAATACCTCAATATCATGAACCCACAGCCTCCTAAATTACACTGTTTTGTTAAACTACACAAACCGGATCACCCAATAAGACCTGTAGTTTCTTTTTATACAGCTCTATCATATAAACTTTTAAAAAAACTGTTAGAGATTATTTTAGAACACACTAAGTTTTTACCTAAATTTACTATAAAAAATACAATAGAACTAGTTAATAAAATACAACGTTTTCAATTACCTAACAACTCCAGATTAATTTCATTTGACGTTAAAAAATCTTTTTGCTAGTATTCCTCCTACAGAAACTTTTATTCTAGTAAAAACTTTTTAAGAGACCAAAATATTACAAAACCATTACATCTGAAATTTTAAATCTTCTTGAAATTTGCATCTTTGAATTTAATATTCAATGGTTTTTTGTGAAGAAATTAAAAAATAAGTAAATATTTTCTGATTTCTAGAGACTGTCTAATCACTATTGAATATAGAAGAATAATTAAATCAATAATTTTATTTTCTTTCTCTTAATTGTAGTGTTATATATTTATATAGTTCGAATTTATTTGTCTTTATTCTAATTTATTGTCTATAATCTAATTTATTAAAACTCACGATAACTAATTACGAATTTATTAAAGTCTTTATTAATTCTAATTTATATTACAAATAATTTATTAACGTTTCGTTACATTTAAATATCGCGGTTCGCGAGCTTCTTATAACTGACTGCCAAATAAAAATCTTTCATTTATATACACAACTGTGTCATCCAGAGAATTCGGCGGACTTCTTGAATAGTCTCGTATTTTGGTGAAGGCGCTCGACTCGTTTTTCAACCTCGAGACGTGGATGATTCACCAAAATTAGTGTCTAGAGATTTCTGGTAAACAACTGGTAGCTAAGCTCAGGTATATCTTGACCTACAAATTACGAGAATCAATAAAAAGAATTAGTCATAAAATATTTACAGTTCTATATGCCATAACATTTAAAATCGTAACATTGCCCCCCTCTTAAAAGATGGTTCCTCCTGGAACCTTGTCGGGACTGGAACTGGAACGACATGCTGATATCGGCAACTGGACCCTCTTTTACAACTTCCAGTTGTATAGAAATGACAAGGGACGGTTTTCTCTCCGCAGCAGTAACTATGCGGATTGCAACAGACTAACACCTGGACTTCGGTGTCTTTAAAGACTTCCTCCACCATGTTTCGTATAACCCTCCAATCTAATTGGCGGTACTCCAACTTTGGCATGGCTAACTTTTGCACGTCGGACTCTAGTACGTGCTCTCTCAACTGAAGTAAGGCTTCCCATACATCTCGGTAGGTAGGTTGGTCACGGGCAGTGTCTTTTGTTACCAGGTAGAAAAGGTAACGTGATGCATCTTGAAGTTTCAAGGTTTTACCAGGAGCTGGCACTTGGCATTGAAGTTCTGCAACTCGACCAAACTTCCTTCGAAAGACGGATGCCAACCCTGGTGCATCTTTGATACTGGCCGGGATGGTAAGGGCCAGTGAGTAGTCATCGGGAAGCGCGAGTAGATCTTGCCTTTCTTCAGTGGTAACACCATGTCTTGCTTTACCGGTACCTCCATAGGCACCCATGAATTCCTCAAACGTGAGGTCAGACACATCTTGGACTTGGTTTACTTCCACTTCTTCATCTACGTCGTGGTCACCCTCGAAAGACGCCAGCCGGTTATGGTGTACTATCATCGGCTTTCCTCTCGGAATCTTGCTTATTCGGTAAATAACATCATTGATCTTCTCCATAATGAGGTATGGACCTTCCCAAAACTGCTGCAATTTGGGAGAACAACCTTTTCGCTTTTTGGGGTTATAAAGCCAGACTTTATCGTTCTTCTTAAAACACCCCTTTTCGGCTTGCGTATCGTACCGTTTCTTCATTCGGTCACTAGCGATCTGGAGATGGGAACGGACCAACTCGTGTACATCGTCCATTCTTCTTCGTAATTCGATCACATAATCTTCACCTGCTACATCTTCTCCAGGTCGACACCCAAACTCTAGATCACAAGGTAGTCGCATCTCGCGTCCGAATAGGACTTTGGCTGGTGTCTGGCCTGTTGATTCATTAACAGCAGATCTGTAGGCCATTGTGAAGAACGGGAGATATTGGTCCCAGTCTCGCTGATGATCGGACACCATCTTTGTCAAATACTTGCCAACTGTTCTATTCATTCGTTCTACCATACCATCCGATTGCGGATGATAAGCCGTAGTCCTTGTTTTCTTCATACCTAGTCTATCACATATTCCTTGGAATAAATCGCTTTCGAAGTTCCTGCCTTGGTCACTATGGATCTCCAAAGGCACTCCAAATCGGCTGATATATTCTTGGATCAACTTATCTGCAACGGTGGCCGCCTTCTGGTCTGGAAGTGCGTAAATCTCGACCCACTTAGTGAAGTAATCCATTACTACCAACATGTACTTGCCTCCATTATCACTTTCTGGAAACGGCCCAGCAATGTCCAAAGCTATTCTTTCAAACGGGCTTCCAACGTTATATTGTCTCATAGGAGCTCTCCTTTTTCGATAAGGCCCGTTACTCGTAGCACAAATAGTACATTTCTTACACCAGTCTTTTACATCGTCGGAACTGTTCATCCAATAAAACCGTTCCCGAATTCGCTGAAGGGTCTTCTTCACACCAAAATGCCCTCCTGATGGACTGTCGTGTAACTGACGAAGTACTTCGGCTATTCTGCTCTTTGGAATCACCAACTGTCTTCTCTTCTCTGAACCGTCATCATTTTCCAGGACTCGTTTGAGCAAGCCATCTTCCATGATAAATGAGTCCCACTGGCCCAATACGTCTTAACTACTGAGCCTAGGTTCGATATTTCTTGCCAAGGTGGTCGACGGTTTTCCTCTTTCCATTTTCGGATTTTCTGTATAACTGGATCTCTCTCTTGTTCTTCCCTGATCTTGGTAGGCGTCCAGTCGTCGTGGACCACCGTCGTTCTTAGCACTGCTGCTTCCTTGGATTCCGTTTTGTTGCAGTGAGAACACTCTGCTGGGCATGGCCTTCTGGAAAGAGAATCAGCGTTTCGGTGGCTAACTCCGGCCCGGTGCTCAATCTTAAAATCATATTCTTGGAGTCGTTCGATCCACCTGGCTATCTGACCCTCTGGATTCTTAAACTGCATCAACCACTTAAGGGCGGCATGGTCGGTTCGGATTAAAAACTTCCTTCCATAGAGGTATTGATAGAAGTGCTCTACTGATTTCACTACTGCCAGAAGTTCTCTTCTCGTGACGCAATAATTCCGCTCAGGTTTTGAGAGAACTTTACTGAAATATCCAAGGACTCTTTCCTGTCCTCCCTGAATCTGGGACAGCACTCCTCCAATTCCCACATTACTTGCATCTGTATCTAAGATGAACTCTCCTTCTGGCAGTGGATACCCTAAAATCGGTGCTGTGATTAAATGCTTTTTTAAGGTCTCAAAGGCATTTTGGCAGTCTACATCCCAGCGGTATTCTCTTGCTTCCTCTGTAAGTCGCGTTAATGGTTTAGCGATATCTGCAAACTTCTTAATAAACCTCCGGTAATAAGTACATAGTCCAAGAAAACTTCTCACTTGATGTTTGTCAGTTGGTTTTGGCCATTCCTTAATGGAATCGATTTTCCCTTATCCACGGCCACTCCTTCTTTACTGACTATATGACCCAGATAATTGACTTTACCTTGAAATAGCTGGCACTTCTTGGGGTTTAACATCAATTGGGCAGCTTTAAGTCGATTAAAAACGTTTTCTAAATTCTTCAGATGGTCCTCAAATGTCTCCCCCAAGACGATTATGTCGTCTAGATAAACTAGGCACGTTTTCCAAGATAACCCTCTCAACACATTTTCCATAAGTCTCTCAAATGTCGCAGGAGCGTTACAAAGTCCAAATGGCATAACGTTGAATTGCCATAATCCAGATCCTGTGGTGAAGGCTGTCTTTTCTTTATCTACCGGGTCCATTTCTACCTGCCAGTATCCAGACTTCAAATCCAAAGTAGAGAATAATTTACTTCCAGCCAATGTGTCTAATGTGTCATCAATCCGAGGCAGAGGATAACTATCTTTCTTGGTAACGTTGTTCAGCAAACGGTAATCCACACAGAACCTCGTTGTTCCGTCTTTCTTCTTAACCAGGACTACCGGAGAGACCCATGGGCTCGTAGAAGGTTCTATCACCCCGTCTTTCTTCATTTCCTGAACAATCGTTTCAGCTTCCTCTCTTTTCGCCTGTGGTAATCGTCGAGCTGTTTGACGAATTGGCTTAGCATTACCAGTATCAATTCT